AGAAAGAGCCTGGGCTTTGTCGAGATGGTTGAGCAGCTGGACCAGTCCTGGCTTTTCACCTGCAGACTCTGTGAGATAACCAAGTGTGTTTAGAATTCAGCCTCTGTAAACCAAGCATCCTGTTACTTGCAGCAAAAGCCACTCCTAGCTTAGAGACCCCCCTTAATCTTACTTACCAGTTCCATGCCTCAAGGAACTTCAATGCAGATTTTGACTTCAACAGTTCTAAAAGCTGTGCTCAATTCTTCCTCAAGATTGTTGTTTGTTTTCTTTTTTCAATAAAAAGATTGCTTCAAAAGTTCTGTATTTGATATATGCATTTTTTAAGACATTTCCTGTATAAGCGGCATCATATTTATCACAGAGGGAAGCACCACTCTGTAGTGTTACGACAGGCAGAGTAATCAGGCTTGCTGCATAATGTGACAGTCGATTCCCAGCAGATGATCAGTTCTTATATGGAATAACTAGAATACATAAAGTTTAAACGGTCATGAAATGAGATCACATATCTAGCCATACCAACTTTGCACAGACAAGAAAACATCCACGTAGATATGTTATATTCCACTTTTAAAGAATTAAATCAGAGCAGACCAATTCAAGACAAACTGTATCGTACCAACCAACCAAAGCCGCAGGGTTGACAAAGATAAGGCTTGCCAACTTATACTAACTCTTTACAAAATAAGTTCCATGGTTCATTTTCTAACAGCTGGTATAATAAAGATTTAAAACTCTGAATAAGAGGGAGAAGGTTGTTTCCATCTGTGGTCATTACCTGATCCCGCTGATTTCAGCTGCCAAGACCAACTCCATAGGGCACATTTTTTTATCTTCAAAAATCATTTATTGTAGAATATTTCAAACCCAGAGAAGAGTAGAGAAAATAATATAACATCCATCCATGTATTCATTGCTGATATTTGACAAATGTTAACATTTTGCTATTTGCTTTGGATGTTTTAAAAATAAAACTTTACAGAAACACTAAACATCTGTAAGTGTTCCACACAATCTTGTCTCATTTTTAAAGTGGTTTTCATCATGCATGTCTTGGCAAAATTAGAGCACCTGCACATCTCATATTCAGGAAGCTGCCATGCAGAAGTCTGTCTTCAAAACGTACTTAACATACTTGGTTAGTAGAGTTAAGCAGCAGTGCTACTTGGCCAACACAATCCACTTGGCTCCATTCTAACGCTTGATAATCCACATTTTGTAGAACTCCCCAAACCATTAAGACCACCTTTTTCTTCCTTTGTCTCAGCAAGTCTTCCGG